CCTCTCTCTGTCTTTCTGACAAGCGCACGTGCCCTATAGCAAGAATCTCTTTCCAAAAGAAAATAAGTGGAAAGTGAGGGGGAAGGTGGTGACTCAGGCTAGAGGCAGCAGGTGCCTGAGGGCATGAGTGTGAAGGTCTTGTCTTATCACAGGGCAACTTGTCTACACCAGCTGTTGTTGATAATATTAGTGAAACAGTCATTCCCATCTCTTTCCGCAGAGCTTATCAGACTGGGGACCTTTTTTTCTTACCCTGGACAAATCCTTTGCTTTCAGGGCTCTGCTGGCTGGGGGTGGCTTTTCTACGTGGACTTACCGGCAAGGCTACGACGTCAGCATTCCTGTCTATAGCCCGCTGTCAGCTACGGTGGACCTGCCCGAGAAAGGACCAGGGTAAGGTGCGTTGGGCACAGCCGCTGTGCCTGCCCGCCTCGGAGGTGCTGCGGTGGTGTGGTTGGTGGACATCGCAGCGACTGAAGCCGCCATTGCAGCCGGGGTCCTTGAATCCGCCCTCTTCCCCACTCCAGCCTTGTCTGCCCACAGCCTTCTCCAGCTCAGTTTTCCAAACCAGAGAGCTGTACGGCTTCCTCTCCTTTCCTTCCTGCATCGAAATAGCAAGTCCTGTCGATTCCACCCTAGGTTTTCCCTAGACCACCCTCTCCTGTCTCTGCCTCTCCCTGGCCCAGGTCACTGTCCTCTCGTCTGATTGCTGCAACAGGACCTGGTGGTTCCTGCCTCCAGTCTCGCTAACCTCCAGGCTGATCCTGGCTTCACGTAGCCCTTGGGGTAGAGGCTGTCCCAGCCTCTCTGACCGCCATCTCTATCTCTAGCTTCTCCTCTGAGAACGCTTTGCCTTTCAATTCGTAGAACAAGTTTAGTTCTCTCAATTTCTTTGTACTGCATGTATGTTCTCTATTACTTGGAATCCTCTTCCTCATCCTCGTCTTCCTCATCTTCCTCTTCCTCGTCTTCCTCATCTTCCTCTTCCTCATTCTCATCTTCCTCTTCCTCATCTTTCTCATCCTCACTACCTCATCCTCCTCTTCCTCCTCTTCCTCATCCTCGTCTTCCTCATCCTCCTCTTCCGTGTCTTCCTCTTTCTCCCCTTCCTCATCCTCCCCGTCCTCATCCTCCTCCTCCTCATCCTCGTCACTCTGACGTCCTACTTGTCCTGTGGGCTTCGGCTGGAAACCACTCACTCCTTTGCCCCCCAGGACAGCCCCCTTCACGCTCCCAAGCAGCCTGCACTTCTAATGTCTAGTTAACCATGTCCCGTCGTAATGACTTCTTAAAGACCTTTTTTTTAAAAAAAAATTTTGGATTTGGGGATTTTATAAGTGCAGCGGAACTGAGGCTAGGTTTGTTCATTTATTTTTAATATGCTAGAGGGCACGTGTGTTTGCTAGAGAGCGAGTGAGAAGCACCCCCTACGGAGGACGATCATGCAGTGACCCCTTCTCCTCCATTTTTACTTTTGGGATTTTGGACACGTACCATGCACACCCGGCATGTTTTTTCTTTTTTAAACTGCTGGGTCTGAGACTTGAACCACTCAGTCAGCCATGTGGGATCCAGCCACCTTAACCACCACACTGCGGGCTGGCCCACCCAGTTCTGCTTTGGAGCTGCCATGTCCTCAACACCAGCACAGGGTTGGCTAGTATATTAATATGTACGCAGTAAATGAAGAGAGCTGACGGTCTGAAAGGCCTTTGGTCTAAGCTTTTTTAGCTGTAGTCTCTTTAAAACTTTGTGCCGTTTCACGGTGAGACCCTCAGTCAGCTTTAAATAGACGTGATGAAGATAAAGCATCTGTTACTTTGGGGGGGCACCCAGACACAGAGGTGACTGATTCATAAATACTGAAAACACTAGAAACGCCACCCAGCTGCGACGTAAAAACCCGTGCCTAGTGTTTGATCTCAGAAGCAGGCCTCAAGGAAACAGTTTCTTTGGAGAACATTAGAACCATTTTCTAAGCATCCCAAATGTCCCCTCTGGGATGAAAACTTGCACAAACTCTCTGGGAAATAAGAGAACTTTTCCCACGCGAAGACGTCTGTACGTGTGTGCTCAGCGTGTGCCTGGGACCGGCCTGGCGCACAGGCGTATTCCTGGCTGGATTTAGTGTGGCACACGGAGGCACGGTACAGCAGTGAAGGGAAAGGCTCACGGGGTGAAGGCCGAGGAGACCAGGCATGAGCCGCCACACGACCTCGTCCCGTGGAGTCACGCAGGACGCGCTCAGCCCCCTAGCAGTGAGGCGCGTCGGTGCCTGTGAAGTGTCGTCAGCAGCGCAGCTTGTCAGAGACTCGGCACCGGGGCTTTCCTCGGGGCCCGATGACAGACCGCCCGGCACACGGCAGCACTGCGGACTCCCGAAGGAAAGCACATGGCGGTGCAGGCGTGTCGTTGGACAGTCGGGGGACAGCGAGCCGCTGTTCTCCCTCCCCAGGATGATGGGAACCGTCCCCACATCCAGCTTCCCAGATGCCAGCCGAGGGCCAGCTTCAAAAGCAAGGCTTTCAGGGGACAGAGTCAGGCCTGCCGCATTACCCCTTTCCACGCAGGGCACATGCCACAGCAGAGTGCCTGGGCGCAGTGTCTGCAGTGCTGTAGCTGGGACGTCCTGGGCAGAGGGCGCGTCCGTGGCCTGGTCTGTCAGCCAGCGTGGCTGCCCTGGCCTCGTCTGTCCTGTGTGGCTCCCGCACTACTGGGCCATGGGCCAGCCTCGGTAACAGCCATTTTAACGGTTAGTTTCAGAGACTTAAACTGTTAGATCAGTGGCATTTCCCTAGTAAGTTAATCTTTAATTTTTTTTGGGGGGGGTGATTTTTGTTATAGGGTATGTGCGCTCACTAGAGAGAGAGACAGAGAAAGTAGGAAGTCACCTCCCGTGGCGAAGGGCATAACACAGGTCTCTTCTCCATCCTCCTCTCGGGTTCTGGGCACACACGCACATACTCCTGGCATGTTTTAAGCTTCTGGGTACAGGTCTCAAACTACAGTTGGCCACACTGGAGTCCAGCACCTTAACTACTATACCACCTGCTGGCCCCGGTCTTTAATTTTTATGCATAACTAGACTGAAATTAAGATCTTTTAGCTAGACCATTTTTTTAAGAATTATTTATTTAATTTTACTAATTATCATTATTTTTAATTTGTTAAGGACATATGTCCTCAGCAGAGAGAGAGATAGAGAGAGAGGGAAAGTGAGAAAGAAAGCTGCCAGGTCAGGGACTTGAACCACAGTCAGCCACGTTCAAGTGGGAGTCAGCGCCTTACCCACCACGCCATCTGCCGGCCCCCTAGCTAGATCAGTTCTGAGGCTCAGTGACCCCCCAGTAAGAGTAGCCCGCCATCTTGTAGCTCAGGGCAGTAGAGGCTGCTCTGGGCACATCCTTCCCCTGCTGGCAGGTTGGTGGCCCCGGGCCCACGCTCTCGTGTCCCCGCCGGCTTACAGCTGGGCCCTGCGGTTGCTGTGTTCCTTTTATAAAGAGCACTCCCTACACACCCACCCCCAACAAAAAGACCCAAGCTAAGGGAAGGTAGGCTCCAAGTCTCTCTGCCTTCCAGAACGCGGGGAGAGGCAGGGCATTCTCCTGGCTGCGTTTCAGGTCCTTCACTTTTTGTGAGAGTTGCTTTTCCAGGGAATTCCCACATCTCTCGAGGCTGTGCAGAGTAGTGAGAGTGCTGCTTTTACTTTTATTTTAAATCTCTCTGAGTATTTTTTCAATGGGAAGCAGAGGACTGTTGCTATTGATAGCTTCTTCTCACAGCTGTGCTGGCCTCAGCTGGAATTCTTGTCATTTTCCTTCTGAAAGGAACTAAATTGGGAGTTTACAACCACTGCTGCTGAGGGGACTTCAAGTTCCCAGCGTGATTTTCCTTAAACTTGGATTTTAGCGCTGCTGGGAGGAAACATGAAAGTCATAGCTAGTCATTTTAGTCTTTCAAAGAAAAACAAATCCACCTTAAAATTGTGTTTGCTTAAAACTAAAATGGGCCTAGTCCACCAGCTGCCAGCCGGGTCACGGAGCACCAGCAGGCTTGCGGGGGACCGCTTTTAGACTCTCTCAACAGCTGCATGTTTCTCTTGAAAACAAGCAGGGATCCGCAATGCTGGTGACCAAATGTCTCACGCAGAACTTTATTATTATTATCACTGCTTAAATTTTTCTACAGGGCATGTGTACTCACCAGAGAGAGAGAGAGAGAAAGTAAGAAAGCAAGCCACCAGGTTCAGGACTCAAACCATGGCTGGCCATGTGGGAGTCCAGTGCCTTAACCACCATGCCACCTGCTGGCCCTAACTTGTTTCTTTTTTTTTTTTTTTTTGGGGAGATTTTTA